CCCTCCCCCTGCCCCACCCTCAACACCGCCCCCCCATCCCCCCAGCCAGATGGCCCCTCACCATGATGATCATGTCCCAGAGCTCCTTCAGCAGGCGGACCTCTTTGTGACAAGCCTTGAGCTGCTTGTAGTCCGGGACGCTGACCTCGAACAGGCTGCCGGACTTGCACAGCGCCTCCATGATGCTCTCCATGGCTGCGATGCTCTTTTGTTGCTGCGGGCATGAGAGGAAGCCAGTGAGCGGGGTGCCTGCGCTCAGCAGAGCCTTTCCCTTCTGCCCCCACCCCATCCCGTCCCATTGACCCTCAGAGCCATCAGTACACTGTACTCTGACCCCACACACACAGGAAGGCAGCAAACTTTCTAGCCGGGGGAGCAGCGCCCTCTCCATCCGTCCCCCCAGCCACCCCCGGCTTCTCTGATGGGGCCTGGAGGGGAGGCCCCATAGGATGGCTGAGCTTGCATGCCTGTGCACACACACACGCATGCGCCCACACACACACACGTGTGTATGCTCGGCCCTGAGGCTGGTCCCATTGAGGCTGTGTTTCTGGACTCACGAGAATGACAGCTTGAGAGAAGATGGGTCCCCAGAGTTACCACCCATCTCCTCCTTGAGCAAAAATACCTTATTGAGGGACTTGTAGGGGTCAGGGTCGCTGAAGCTGAACGGGGCTTCTTGCCTGAACTTTTCTCTGAACTCGTGCTGCTTGAGCTGCAGGAGGACACGTGAGATGCTCAGGCTCTGGGCCCAGTGGTGGGTGCTGCACCCCGGCCCCGCCCCCCAGGCCACGGTACCTCGAACTGCTGGCACTTCCGCCTCAGGATGCTGACCTCGTTGGCCTGCAGGGGCGACACGTTCTGCTTCACCTGGATGGCCAGCTTCTTGGTGTTCGCCCACTGTTCCGGCAGTTCCTGTGCAGGCAGAGGCCAAGGACCACTCCCTTTTCTGCTCTTTTTAAAAACCTTCTACGGTGAGATCACTACGGACTCATGGGGAGATGCAAAAATATCACAGGGAGGGACTTCCCTGGTGGTCCAGTGGCTAAGATTCTGCGATCCCAAGGCAGGGTGCCTGGGCTCAATCCTTGGTCAGGGAACTAGGTCCCAAGTGCCACAACCAAAGATGCTGGGTGCTGCAACTAAGACCCAGTGCAGCCAAATAAATCAATAAATAAGTATTGGGAAAAAAAATAGCACAGAGTCCTGGGTGCTTCCCCACAGCCTTCCGCAGTGCTGGCATCTTATACAATTAAGGCTTGATAGCCAAGCCAGCATCGGACCCTGGGGTGTTTCTGTTAACAGATGATGGAACTTGTTGGTTTTTACCCTGTTTTAAGCTCATCCACATGTGCGTGTGTTGTATGTGTGCATGTGAATGCACATGTTGTAGGCAGGTGTAGTCCTAGGCACTTTTGTCTCAAGTATAGGTTCCCATAACCCCCACCACAATCCACATACCTCACTGTTGGTCACCGCGAGGGAACTGTTCTGTGTCAGCTCTTTGCATCAGCACCCACCCTGCCCACCCCCACAAACCTGGGCAACCACTAACCAGTCTTCCATTCCTATAGTTTTGTCATTTCAAGAATGGCTTTAGCAATCAGATGAAGTTTTGTATTTTCCAAGTTCTCCACACTTGGGCAAATATGGTACTTGCCATAAAATGTTTTAAAGACAAAAATCCCAGCCCCTAATCTCTTTGCCCACAAACAGACATTGTTTCACTTTCTTCTACAAATAACTAACAATCTTTGTTGGCAGTGGCTTGGCTCAAACATTTATCAGAATTTTTATCACCCCACTTGCCCTGTCCACGGCCCCGGAGCTCCTGAGCCTGGCCATACACACTTCAAATCCTAGTCCTTACTGAGCCCTGGGCAGGGGGAAAAGGGGCCAAACACAACATGCTCTAAAGCAGGGCCTGGGCAGCGGGAGAGGTCACCACAGCTGCCCACACCATCCTGTCACTCCCTCTGCTGGGGGTCTTGGCCACTGGCTGGGGTCAGTGTCTCCCGGCACGGGGAGTCAGGCCTGTGTGACCAGACACAGATTCAGGGCAGAGGAAAGGAGCGGGTAGAGGCAGCCAGGTCTGGGAGGAGACAAAGCCCAGGGGGGCGGCTTGACCCTGCCTGCAGGACCCATCTCCTGCATCCCTCCCTCTCTCACCCACCCCCCAGCCACACACACAGCTGCATCGGCACCAACACTGACATCTTGCAAATCAGCCATAAGTGCCGGGCTTCTTCAAGTCCCTGCATCCCCTGCCGTGGCCCCTCTGCTCCACGGGCATGAAGCTGGCTGGGCGCCTTCTCCTCCAGGGAGCTGGTCTCTCTCTCAGCCTCGCTGCTGGCCCCTAATCTTGGCAGGACCTCTGCGGACCCCATTCTCGGCCCACTGTCCCTCATGCCCAGGATCCTGCTGGGCTCAGGAGGAGGCGTGGGACATGAAAGCATTTCCAATCCACTGAAATGCCAACTAAATGCAGGGACTATTCCCCTCCCATCCTTGGGAGGCAAATCTCCCTGTCCCCTCATTTCTGGAGAGCCTTGTCCTCCCAGCCCACCGTTCCCTGGGGATCTGAGGTCTAGAAGAGGAGGTTTGGCCCGCAGCCTCCAGGTCATAAGAGCCTGCCCTCTGGCGCTGCCCCACGGGACTCCAGCTCCCCCAACGGGGCAACCCAGGCCCATCTACCTGCAGCTTCACGTGCGTCTCCTCGGGCATCTCCTCCCCGTAGGACTTGAGCAGCTCAATGGTCTGCTTCAGGGGCTCAAACATGTTGTCTGTGGCCGTCTGCCTCTCCTTGACCTTCATCAGATGCCCCATCACTTCAACGAGGCCGTCATAATCCCCATCCTTAACGGGCTTTGTTAAGCCCATCCTGGCAACTTTCATGAAGGCTTCCAGGTCCGCGAGGCTGGTGGGTGCAAGGCCGCACGTGATGGGTGCCCCCCTCCAGGGGAGGGTCATGTTCCTGCCTGCCTGGCACCCCATGTTTCACTAGTTCAACTGGTCAGCGAGTCCCGGGTAAGGTCACATCTCAAGATGGCCTTTGTGGGGGCCTCCTGGATGGAAGAGTGAGATTACACATTCTTGGGGCTCCTGGCGACTCCCAGCCCACCACCGCCTGTAACTGCACAGGTACCACCCTCGAGTTCCATGCCAGGCTTCCCTGCCCATCTCGGGGCTCCTAAAGGATTCCTTGGCACCTGTTGGTCAGACACGGTAAGTGCCCAGTAAAGAAGCAATGACCAAGGGACCAGGGCCCCCACTCCCTGCCAGGTGACACCTTCCTGCTGGGACCCACCCTCCGTGGGGCCGCTGGTCTCTAAACCTGAGCTTCAGCTCCTGGCTGGCTGGGGGTCCTGGCATAGGGCTCTCCAGGGTGTGGTCAGCAGCAGGCCAGTGGGGGTGGGAGTGGGCCCGGGGCAGCGGTCCTGGCGCCCACCTGTTGATGACGTGGTTGCTCAGGTGCCGCTTGAACATGAGGCTCCAGCGCTTGATGGTGTTGAGGAGGGCCTGCTTGAAGGGGCGGCAGTCACACTGCAGCCAGCCGTTGAACACCTTGGTATTGTCGCACTTGGACACCTCTTCATACAGCTTCTCGTAGGAGTCGATCTGGGAGGCAAGGACCCGCTCAGCTGCTGGGCTGCTGCGGTGGGGTCAGCACAGCGTGTGGCAGCCAGGGAGGCCCTCACAACGCGCTCCTTTCCTTCTCCCGGCCCCAGCCGACAGCCCCTGCAGCCCAGAAGTCTACCGCCAAAAGCGGGATACAGGCCGTCAGAAAGGGACGCCACCTGGCGAGGCCAGCAGGGCTTCTGAAGTAGGGCATGACTAAAGCTCCAAGGGGTGCAAGGGGTCCCGGGCGCCACGGGGCATCCTTAACTCAGCTGGCTTTGTGCTGCTGCCTGTCCTCGAGGCTTTCAAGACTGGCAGCCAGCTGTCCGCCCCCACCGTGTCGTGGGAGAGACTGTGTCCCCCATCCCACCCCACCCCCCCTGTGGCTGGGCCACCCTCACCAAGCTTCAGGAAAAGACATGAAGGTCTGTAAACTCATTACGTTTTCTCGTGTTCTGATGTATGTATATTTTGGCCACTCCATGCGTTTTGAGGGACCTTAAAACCCTGGGAGCAAACCTAGGAAGAGTTGAGTCCTAACTGCCAGACCACCAGGAAATTCCCATCATGCTCTACATTCCTGATGCTTTGGCATCAGTGGCCTTGCTGACCCTGGAGGGACAAGCCCGCCCCTAGTCACAGGCTGGCTCATTCCTAGAGATGGCAGAAAAACCCCTCCCCCAGGCCCACGACTTTCATGTGCAAACAACGAAGCAGGGTCCGCACCCCAATTTTTACCACCCGCTCTCACACTCTAGGCCACTCTCTACCTGCCCTAATCACCCCAGGGCAGGTACCTGACAGCCTGAGACAGCCATACAGCCCTGAGGCACTGAAATGATTCAAACTAGCCCATCCCAAGCCGGCTTGTCCTGCCTTGCTTGCTCCTCCCCATGAGGACCCTAGCGCGAGTTCTCGGTCGCGCTTTCCCCTCATTCTCTGTCTCCTGACACTGGTGCCCCGCTGGCGACACCTGTGGCCTGGAGTGCCCCCTCCTCTCGGGAGCCGTGGGCCACAAACCCTCTTTTCACAGTGGCTGTCTGCTGGCCTCTTGGTCTCTCCATACGTGAATAATAATAATAAAACCTACATTAAAAAATAAACGTGCACCCACGTTTTCAATCAAACCCAGTGCCCCTCTGCAGCAGCGGGGGCGGGGAGGGAGTGGTTGGTTCCAGAAGTGAGAAAACCAGTGGGCAAGGTCCACACGCACCTGCCGCTGGAACTGGGTGAGGCTGGGCGGCGTCTTGGGGAGGGTCTCCTCAGGTCGGCCGTCCAAGTCCTCCCGGCTGATGGCGTGCCCGTACGTGAGGAAATTCTTCATGAACTCCTGTGGGTCGTCCGTCCACAGGTAGGAGTAGCGCTCTAAGGAGTCCTGGTACTCCTCGGCCTCCTTCATGGCGCTGATGACCAGGTTGGAAATCTCCTCCCGCATCTCTATGAGGTCCGTCATGTCTTCCAGATCGGTCTGCAGGCGGGCAGGAGGGGGACAGACTGGTGAGGGCTTCGCCCCGTGCTCCCCCTGACCTGGAGAGCGGCTCCCTGTTGGTTCAAGCGTCGCTAACCTCCCGAGATGAGAGGAGGGGACACCTGCCCATTGGCGACGCTCTCCCACGTGAAGGTATGCCGGACGTGACTTTTTGCCTGGCAGACCCCAGGACGACTCACCCATAGCTTCATTCATTGAGTAGTTACTCACCTGCTGTGTGCACGCGGTAGGAGGGGGCACTGGGAGGGTGGACAGGGCTCGCGGGGATGGGGACAGTCCAGGATGAGGGTCATAAGTTTATCAGTAAATCAAAAACTGAGTCGTCATGACTCTCATCCTTGTATTCAGGTGTAGCAGGGAGGAGGTTAGGGGACACCCCCTGAGGAAGTGATCGTTAGTCTGAGAGCTGATGGACGGGAGGTGGAGAGCAAGAGAAACAGCAAAGGGCCTGCGCTGAGAGGAGGCACGTGTTTGAGGACCTGAGTGGAGACCACATGGGTGGCTGCAGCAGGAGCAAGGGAGGCCCTGACTGGACAGGGCCTTTTGCATCTCAAGAGACAGAAAACGCAATCCAAATTGGTCTTAGTGAAAAGGTAGTGATTGGCTCCCATAACTGGAAAATCTCAAGGTGGAGGGTGTGTAAGAAACGTGTTTTTTGAAGTTTCTATATCTTAGCAAGTATTGACACCTAGAGAATCCCATGGACAGAGGCACCTGGGAGGCGGCAGTCCATAGGGTCACACAGAGTCGGACATGACTGAAGTGACTATGCCGCAGCAGTAAGTAGTTTTAGCATCTTAAAAAAATATTGCTGGGGATCCCCCGGCAGTCCAGTGGTTAAGGGCTCAGCACTCTCACTGTTGCAGGCCCGGGTTCGATCCCTGGTCAGGGAACTAAAAATCCCACAAGCTACCTGGTGTGGTGCAAAAGAAGAAAAAAAAAATCTTGCTGGTTGGGGAGAGACTGCCCCCCCGCCCCCCAACCACAGCGCAGGGCCAGGAGCTTTTAAGAGAGCAAAGGGCTGGGATGCAGGCACACCTTTCTTAAGCAAGCCAGCCAAACGCCCAATCACCTCCTTCATCTAACCAACTCTCATATCCCAAGCCCATGTTTCCCCTGCTCCATCACCCCAGCGCCAGGTACCAGACAATGGGAGATGACTCCGGGGCCCATCTGGAGCAATTTCCCCAGCCCTACCAGCCTCTGGCCTGGGCTTCCCCCCATCCTGCCTCCTGACCAAACCTGCTGCTCCCCACTTTGCCCCTGCATGGCCAAGCTTACTTTGCTCTGTATAATGGGCTCCAGTTTCATCCATCTCATTAGAACTGATTCAAATGAATTCTTTTTAATGGCTGAGTAATATTCCATAATGTCTCCTTTCTTGGGGAGCTGTGGGCAGCATTACCTTTTCTATCAGTGGCACTCACCTCTCTCTGGAGTCACTCAGTTTCCTCGGTAAATTAAAATCTTGCAAATGAGACCAGGGCGGGGTGTGCACAGCCTGGGGTGTGGCCGGGTCACCGGGACCCTTACTCTGCCTTGCTCTGTTCTGCTACATCACGCGAGGACCCCAGGGCAGGTGGAGGAGCCCCAGACGTGCGGCCCTTCAGATTCTAGAGCCACATGTTGGGCTCCAGCTCTCATCGGCCTGTGTTGGGTCCCACACGTCTGTGCCTGAGTGGATCACTGGTGATGTGGTTCACTCTGGGCTAAGCTCCAGAGCAGCTCGCTGTGTGCACTTGGACCCGGAACACCACCTCTATACAGCTCAGGAATCCTCAAACAGTTCTCTCTGCCTGGCAACCTCCTCCCGTCCTTCATGATTCAGAATGCAGGTCAGCTGTTCTGGGAAGCTGTCCTTAACTTGTCCAGGTATTTCCTCCTGACCTCACATCACTACACGCACATGCACACATAACTGTCCCTGACAGCACAGAGCATCTTGCTGGAAATATTTGTTATTACAAATAATACACACCCGTCATCAAGAAGTTCAAACAAAGCAGAGCATGTGAAATAAAAAGCCCCCTTTATGTTCCCCATCCTCCCGCCTCCCTCACCCTCATCCTGTTTCCCAGAAGTGAGCACTCTTGACAGTTTGAAGTGCATCCTTAGGAAGATAGGCTTTTGTTTACTTAAATGAATGAAATCACATTCTAAACATAGTTCCGCAGCTTGATAAACACTTGATAACATGTCACGAGCCTCCTTCCATCCCAGGCTCCCTTTTGTGACTCATTTAGACGCCTTTGTCTGGATGGGCCTGAAGCTACTGAAGGACGCCTGTATTTGATGGCCATTTAGGTCTTTTCCAATGTTTGTTTAACTGCCCCACAAACCATGTTCCAATAAGCACACCTTCTCAGACCTCCCCCTTCAGGGAGTCTGAATTTCCCCCGCCTTTGCATCCCCAGGATCTGATCTGTGTTTTATGTCGTGGGTGGGTATTTAATGCATTCAGAGAGAACGGGTGTGGGAGCCAGTGGAAGGCACATTTGTCAAAGAGCCTGCATGAGGATCACAGACTGTAAATTACGGGAGGGAGGGAAATAGCAGGAAGTGGGGTGGGAAAGCACACTTGGCGTCTCGCTGTGGGTGGGGAGGTGTTGAGGGAATGAAAACCAGGTCGACCAAGGACAGGTCCACTCTGGGGAGAGAAATCCGGGCCATCGTCCCCGGGGAACCTGACAGAATGGAAGCCCCTGGGTTCCTCATCACACGGGACCACCACCACGAAACACACACACGACCAAGTGCTACCGCATCAGGAAGGCGATTCTGACCCCGGGTAGCAGTTGGTGGCAGGGAAAGCGGTGGGGCCATAACCAAGCCCAGACTGACCTTATAGTGCAACCTGCCCTTGGCCAGTCGGGGGATGAGCTTGGCTGTGTTGTAGATGTCAGTGACCAGGCTCCCGATCAGCGCCAGGAAGCCTCGGTCCCCGCCCACCTCCAGGGATGGACTGAAGACCAGCCCGTCGTCCTCCAGCTCCATGCGGACCTCGAACAGCGGCGCGACGCTCTCCTAAAACAGGGCGTTGTGGGGTCAAGGCCCGGCCCTTGGCTAATATTCTCGATGCCTGGTGTTCACCTAGGCACCAAACAAGGTCTAGGGCTGGCTCCTGCTGGCTGGGACCGCTACAGAGAGCACACTCCCCACCAAGGGCCCATGAGCGAGAACTGTGCGGCCAAAGGCAGCAGCACCAGGCCAAGCGCAGGCTGGGCGTCCAAGCCAGACGAAGCAGCAATGACTGAGTGCCAAGGAGACCCGCTACCCGCGTTCAAGCCCATATCTGTTACTGACCAGCTGCGTGGTCTTAGGCAAGAACCTCAGTGTCGTTTCCCTAGATACATAAAATCAGCAGACTCGTTTCATAGAACAGAGGAAATTGTTGTCCCCATCTCTTTGGGTTACGGCGGGGATTAGATGGATAATTTACAGAGCATGTGAGGTGGGGGCGGGGGGGATCCCAGCCAGGCAGGATGGCCTCTGCTGAGCTCCAGAAAGGACAAGCCTCATGTTCCACAGGGGTCCTGTTTACAAAGTGGGCACACCGTAACCCTGTCCATTCCTGGATTTTCCTTGTGACGTTGCAGATCCTAGGTGTGGTCTTGGGTGTCAGAGGACAGGATGGAGCCCATCCAATACACCAATAAATCTCAAGAGTGCAGGCTGAGGCCCACGGGTGCTCGGGACCTGCTCCATGACCACTAACCTTCCCCAAACGTAGTCCACACTGGCCCTGAGGGTGCCCAGCTCAAGAGCCCCCTGACTCTATGACTGGGGGAGGGTCTGCTCTAGTGCCTGAGTGAGCTGAGTGGGAGAGGTCAGCTGTCATGAACTCAGTTGAGCAGACTTTTCTTGAGCCTCTGTCTGGGCGGGGGGGGGGGGGGCCACTTCTGCTGGTTGGCCACTTGCAAACACAGAGCCTCCCTGGGACTTTTTAGGAAAGACACTGTGTTATCAGGGACTCATCACCCATTTGACTGTGACTGCTTCTCTTTGTAGTGATAAATACTACACATTAGCTACCTTCCTTGCTGATATTGCGTTGCTATACCTTGCTTGCTGAGTCTTTGTTGTCATTTAGTCACTAAGTCATGTCTGACTCATTTGTGACCCCATGGACTGTAGTCCGCCAGGCTCCTCTGTCCATGGGATTTCCCAGGCAAGGATACTGGAGTGGGTTGCCATTTCCTTCTCCAAGGGATCTTCCCCACCCAGGGATCGAACCCACATCTCCTGCATTGGCAGACAGATTCTTTACCACTGAGCCACCGAGGAAGCCCTTGGTGAGCCCTAAGCTCGTGATGCCGTCTGCTTTCACCAACAGACTCTGGGGTCTGTGGATGCTCTGATGACAACTGCCCTCTGCAGTTGTGTCAGGGCGTCTCACTGAGGTGCCCACCACCCTCTCCTGAGAGTGAGCTGAGTGGGCTGGGTCTCTGACCTTGCCCTCCTGGGCAGTATCCAAAGTCACTTGGGAGCCCATGTAGTGAAAAAGACACGGCAGGGCACAGGTCAGGGAGAACAGGCCAGGATGCAATTAACCAGCAAACCCACTCTGCTGACCTGGTTTAACCTTCTGCTCGATTGGGCAGAGGGTGGAGAGGGTTGGTGGATGACACTGCCAACGGGAGGGCACATCCCACCCCCAGTCAACATGAGGAGGGGCCAGGGGTGCCTGCTTTTCCTAACCCAGCAGGAACAGAGGTCAGCTCAGCTCTGCGGCGATGTGCTTAGCCCATTTATGCTGCGGCCCATTCAGGGTGACCAGATGTCCCGGGGTGCAGGAATTTCAGGTTTGAAATCAGGACAAGCTGGTCATTCTGGGCAGATTTTAATAAGTCTGTTCTTCCATCAGGAAACCACAGATTATATGTTCCAATGTAAACCTTATCTCATATTTATAATACATATATATGTGTATGCATATACATAAATCTCACGTCTCTCACTTACATCTGCAACCATGTTGTCAATCAGGTAATTTAGAGACTTGCGAACGAATTGGTCAAATTCATCTAAGACCATGCTGTCAATGTAGTTGACATAATCCTTCCAGGACTGGCTTGTTGTATCCGCTCTGAAGAGTTCTGCATTTTCCTGCAAACAGAACCACATGGCTGATTGCTGTTTCACTGGGTCTACACATTTCCTTTTTAGTCAATTTATCCAATGACTTTCTGGACTACCCTTGTCCTCACTCACACAATCCACACACAGAGGTCTGATTTTGGCTTCCTGAATGTGCCAGACTTTTCCTAGATCTGTGTCTTTGTCTAGGCTGCTCCTTCCCATTCATGCCAGATATGGCTTTCTTTTCCTTGACCCTCCTTGATTACCATCCCCATTCATGTCAGGTTTGGGTCCTGCCCCTGCCCCCCACCTGCGTTCCCTCTAGTGACCCATTATTTGTGCCTGTGCTGGCACAGATGGCAATGCTGAATTATTCTGTCTGTCTGTGGTCTGCATCTCCCCTTGATGCCAAGCATCGCGAGGACAGGAATTGACTGTCCTTCACGCCGTCATACCTCCAGCACTAAGCAGAATGTCTGGAGCAGAACAGAAGCTGGTGGATGGACGGACGAGGGACTGGGTGGGTGGATGAGTGAACAGGTGGGTAGATGAGTGGGTGAATGGTTGGATGGATGAACGGATGGGTTGATGGTTGAATGAGCAATGGATGGGTGAATGGTATATGGATGGGTGGATGGATGTTGAATGGTTGGGTGGGTGGGTGGGTAGATGAATCTATAAGACACTGAGAGCTACAAGGAAACCCGAAGTTGAACATGACCCAGTCTGTACCCTCAGGCAGTTATATTCTAACAGGGTGGGGAAGACACAGGCTTAAATAGCTTCAGTGTAAGGTAGAAAACAATGCTTCACATGACTATTGTGGGAGTCAAGGACTCTAAGCAAACGGATGTGATGACAAAGCCTCTTCCTGACCCTGGGCCAGATTTCTCTCTCCCGTGTTGTTTCCAATACATCTGGGACTGTTAACAGGTTAGTCAGTTAACTCTTTCAAGTAACCTTTTTGCAGTTTAACGTGTTAATTTACTGGGAGCCTCTGGCACCAGGGCAAAGGAAGAGGACCTGGAAACAAAGTGTTTCTTGGCCTAGTCAAGTCACTCCTTGGGAGTAAGGACCTTCTGAGCCGTGACTTGACCATAAGAATGGCTCAGCAGACCCTCCTCCTCCAAGATGGCCTGCTGGTCCCAGATTCAGCTACCCCCCCAGGGACCCTGTAGAAACATGTCACCTGTTCACACCAACTTATGTAGGGGGAGGAGGCTCTGACATCCTTAGAGGAGGACAGACATGTGACCAGAGGATGGGGCTTCCAGGTGAGCAGTCAGCAGAGTCTGCTGCTATAAAACCAGACTCCTGGATTAAAGGTTGCAGGCGACGACATTTTACGAAAACTCCAGCCCCCTCCCCACCCTGCTCCTTCCTCCCTGGCTACTGAAAGCACGTGGGCTAAGGCCCTCCCGGGCATCTCCTCACCGCGACCATGGCCTGGATCTTCAGGCCAGCATCCTTGACTGCGGTGTAGCGCTTGTTGAGGTTGGCCATCCTCCCGTCCAAGTCTAACAGGGCCTCTTTCTTGTTGTCCTTCCTTTCAAACATCGGGTTGGCTGACCAGTCCTGGAGGGAAAACATGAGCAGCAGAAAAGCACCTGGAGAAAAACCTTCCAGTCTCACTCCTTCCCAATACACCTTTCGGAGTAAGTGTCCCCACCCCAGGTGGGCCTCACAGAGGCCGAGGGACCGCCAAGCACTGTTAGACAGTCTTCAGTGATGTGACTCAAAACTAACAGGGGCCTTGGGGGCCGCCCAGAGAGACCCCTGGGCATTTCCCCCAGTCAGGACTGAAAGGAGCCTTCCTGGGGAAAGCAGCATCTGACCCTCTCATCAGGAACCACAGGAGACGGAGGTGAGGGGACATGGTAACTGGATCCAGAGACGTGTGTGAAGATGCTCAGTGTCCAGGACAAAAGGGACACAAGGGGGAGAATAAGTGACTGGAGGAAGGGACTGGGGACATGCTGCTGTTTTCAGATTGCAAGCTCCTTGTGAATCCAGGGAACATTAACAGAAGGAGACACATGTCTGGATACACGCTGGTAATGTGTCTGAGCCCTGATTATGACCAAGGGCTCTATCCGCCTCTGGTCGGAGAGAACAGGGACAGCAAAGGGAAGTCATACCACCATCAGGTTTTTCAATATCGTGGCTACGAGGTGAGGTAGCTGCAGCCTGAACTGCGTCTCCCTACAGATTTACATGTTGAAGTCCTAATCTCTAACACTCAGGATGTTACTGCATTTGAGAGAGGGCCTTTAAAGAGGTGATTTAGGTGAGGTCATTAAAATGGCTTTTAATCCAATACCACTGGTGTCCTTATAAGAGGAAATTAGAACACAGAGAAACTGGTGTTGAAGACTCTTGAGAGTCCCTTGGACTGCAAGATCAAACCAGTCAGTCTTCAAGGAAATCAGTCCTGAATATTCATTGGAAGGACTGATGCTGAACCTGAAGCTGCAATACTTTGGCCACCTGATGCAAAGAACTGACTCATTGGAAGAGACCCTGATGCTGGGAAAGGCAGGAAGAGAAGGGGATGACAGAGGATGAGATAGTTTGATGGCATCACTGACTCGATGGACATGAGTTTGAGCAAGCTCCGGGAGTTGGTGATTGACAGGGAAGCCTGGCATGCTGCAGTCCAAGGGGTTACAAAGAATCAGACACGACTGAGCGACTGAACGCAACAAAGTTCACATAGATGGAGTCATTCCATTCAGCTCTGCACTTACTTGGTGCGAAGCCTCAGGTAAACTTCAGTCCTTTCGTCTCTAAATTGAAGAGTCCTGCAGCTCTAATTTCCAGAACATTGTCTAGAAAGCTCCTCTCTATCCATCCCTTCCAGACGGAGGACTGACTGAAAGAAAGGACTGACTTTCTGCATGACTGTAAAAGTGCAAAAAATGTAAACAGAAAAACTTGATGTGTTCCTCTTTTGACCTGTATTCTATTCATGAGACAATTGAGACTAAAAGTGAACTGATGATTTTCCCAAGTTCATTGTGGGAGTTGGCATTTTATCTGAAGAGAATTGTGATTTTATCTTTTGTACTTTTTGTGTTTTTGTAGTAAGATTTTCACCATGTGTATTCTTAGTCACTCAGTCATGTCTGACTCTTTGCGGCCCCATGGACAGTAGCCCGCCAGGCTCCTCTGTCCATGAAATTCTCTAGGCAAGAATACTGCAGTGGGTTGCCAGTCTCTTTCTGGGGGATCTTCCCAACCCAGGGATCGAACCCAGGTCTCCTGTATTGCAGGCAGATTCTTTACTGTCTTGAAAAGAACCTACTGTCTTTGTATTCAGTACACTAGGAGAAAATAAAACAAAAGTGAAAAAATGTATTCCTCACATTCAGCTCTGTCTATCTGCACACTTAGATTTTACAGAGAGGAATAGCAATGAATTTTTGCTTTCTTCTCTGGGAAAAGCCAAGAGAGGCTGTCCAGCACACAAGGTTATAGTGATGCCACTCAGTCGATTGTGATCTGAGATATCTGCCATGTAGATGGACCCTATAGGTGTTTTTCTTTAAAGAGGNTTTTCATTTATTTTTATTAGTTGGAAGTTAATTACTTTACAATATTGTAGTGGGTTTTGCAATACATTGACATGGATCAGCCATGGATTTACATGTGTTACCCATCCTGATCCCCCCTCCCACCTCCCTCCCCATCCCATCCCTCTGGGTCTTCCCAGCCACATGCACGCAGATTTAAAATCGTCTCCTGGTAAGGGTGTTTATTACTCAATACCAACCAAACCAGCTACTGTTAGTGTGATTTAACTGGGAATTATGTGTACAAAGTTCAGGAGATTCCAACTTTTAAAATTATTTTTTTTTTATCATCAAGGATTTTTGTATATGCTTAGCTCTTAATCCCTTATGTTATGGGATAGAAAGAGGAGGAAATTCACTAATGCAAAAACAATGTGTATATAATCGAAAACTTAAAAAATTTGGCATGTGCCCAGTTGCTTCAGTCGTGTCCAACTCTTTATGACTCTGTGGACTGTAGCCTGCCACGCACCTCTGTCCGTGGGATTCTCCAGGCGAGAATACTGGAGTGGGTTGCCACGCCTTCCTCCAGGGGATCTTCCCAACCCAGGGAGAGAACCCGAGTCTCCTGCATTGTAGCCGGATTCTCTGCCACTCAATCACCAGGGAAGCTTAGAGTCATAAAAAAGGAAATCAGAGGGATACACACTGGTAACTGGGACGTTTCTGGGGCATTTCTCAGAACATCGCCTGGGCCGTGATCTAAGGCTTGAAATGTGATTATACAGAGGACGTCCAGGATTTGTGGAGAAGTCGTTCCACTAGTTAAAGCATCAGAGTGAACTGCAGGGGAGGTTCCACACAGGCTCGATCTGGGCCTGCCCCAAGCTAAGAAATCCATGTGACGCTTGAAGGCATCAATTCGCAGAATAGAAAAACAGATGGAGGGTGTGCAGTTTTTTAAATATAAATTATTCTTTTAAATAAATAAACACCATTTGTGCTTCAGAATATTGTCCTATCTGGTAACATTTTGATTTACACGTAAGGTTTTCAAAGATAGGTCTACTCTATAAAGTGAGGAATGTACATAGAAATTAAATTGCATGTTAGATGTCATTTGCCTTTCACAATAACCCTTGACATATACTTAGTACTTTAAATGGTGCCCCCTCCCCACCCATGTCCTCCTTTTCAAACAATTAACTCCAGAAAAGGTACAGAATGGGCAGAGAAATAGAGCTGAATGGCTATTACCAGTGGAAAGCAGACAGAAGGGAAAGAGAGCACTGACAGAATTATAAAGTGAGTCAATGTGAAAGTCTGATTCCATTTATCAACCTTTGGATATTAAACAGTTACACCAATAGCCCAGGCAAGAGCTAAATATTATTACCCTTTTGTGATTGCCCAGAGTGAACAAAGCTGACGGTGACGAGATCCTCTCAATATGTCCTGTTTAGTACTTTTCAACAGCTATGTTATAAATACACATCTTTAGGGCATTTTTTCCCAGACAGCCCCCTCACCCCATCCCCAGCAGATTAAATCTTCACCTCCACTCTTGCCTAGCTCAGACATTAATGGATATTAACAGTTTGGGGGCCTGGGGTCTCTCTCGACAACAGAAAGTATGTTAAAAATAAGAAGTGCATTTAAAGGCAGTTACCCAGCCTTTTCGGCACCAGGGACTGGTTTTGTGGAAGACAATTTTTCCATTGACGGGGATCAGGGAAATGGTTTGGGGACGATTCAAGCGCTTTACATTTTCTGCTCACTTTATTTATACTATTATTACATCAACTGCACCTCATATCATCAGGCATTAGATCCTGGAGGTTGGTGACTCCTGATCTAAGGGACCCCAGGTATCATAACCAGAGAGGGGAGCCAGTATCAATAATAAGGGTCATTGCAGACACTTAGCTCCAGGTCCTGTCTAACACTGCCTAGCATTTGTCCATTCTTGTCTAACATTTTTATTTGAAAGATGTCATTCACTGCTGAAGCTAACATGCTTCCCCAGCATGTGCTTGGTTGGGGTTTGTTTGGAAATACAGAAGTGGAAGATAGTTTTCTGTTTCATTCTGATTAATATTTGTTGGATTTTTTGTTTGTTTCTGATTGCATCATTGTAAAAAAAAAAAACAAAACAAAACCCAAAGGACTCTTGCACTGAAAGTAACCCAGGAACATTTTTCCATGTGACTGCATCTCTAAGGCTTCCATTTTTCCTAAATGCCATGGCTGGGGGCGCATTCTAGGGAATGGATGAACATGGCTTTCTCTGAGCCCGAAGTAAGTTGATTCTGGAGGAAACTAATTCAAGGACATGCACTTAAGGCAGGCCCTGGGATTTCATGGCTCACAGGCCACTCTCGGGGCCTCTCTGGTCATCTGCTCCCTTCCTTCTGCAGCCCGAGTTTCTGCTCCTTCTGGTTTCTCTGCTGCCCCAAGACTCCAGTGGAAAATGAGGCTGGGACCCAATTCCAAATTCCCAGGGTTTGGGCTTCCCAGCTGATCTAGTGGTTAAGAAATCTGCCTGCCAATGCAGCGGACACAAGTTTGATCCCGGTCAGGGAAGATCCCGCATGCCATGGGGCGACTAAGCCCATGAGCCACAACTGTGGAGCCCACGTGCTGCGACTGCTGAAGCCCACGGACCTAGAGCCCATGCTCTGCAACAAGAGAAGCCACTGCAATGAGAAGCCTGCTCACCACAACTAGAGGAAGCACATGAGCAACAGCAAAGACCCAGCACAGCCAGAAATAAATAAATATTCTGAAAAACCAAATTCCCAGGGTTCAAGGAGAGAAACTCACTGGCCCCTTTTGGATGAGGCATCTAAGGTAGGCTGAATAATGACCCCCAAAGACGGCCACTTCCTAATTCCCAAGACCTGTGATACTATGTCACGTTGCCTTTGGCAAAAGAGGGTTTGCGGTGTGATTCAGTTAAGAACCTTGATGTCAAGTGGGCCTAACTGGATGGCAAGGTCCTTATAAGAGGGAGCTGATAAAAACAAATGAGAAGGCAGGGTGACAACAGAAGTGGGGGTGTTGTGATCTGTAGGTGGTGTGAAGTGGCCTCTAGCCCAGGAATGTGGGCGACTCTAGGAGGTGG